ATTACCAGAAACGGATTTCCCAAAAGGAATGAAACAGGAATAAATAATGGACAACAGTTACTCACACAATATAGGCGATAAAATGGACGTTGCTGAGCATTCCTCCCCCTAAAGTGATTCAGAGGGTAAATAAAGAATTATAGTCTACTGTCTTTATACATTTTTCGGTCTCAAGAATGATGTTTTTGTTTTCGAGATCTAGAGGGTAAAGAATGACATGATTATAGTGCTTTTGTGTGGCAAAACAATATGTTCATATTGTTCTGAGGTCATTGATTGAGGTACTTGTAGTGTTGTTAAGGGTCTTAAATGTAACGCTTGGAAGAGCTTAGATTTATGATGTTTATAGTGTGTCCGGGTCCTTCAACGAAGTACCGTGGTGCTTTAGATGCAAAATGAACTTTTAATTTTTTGTTTTGCATAAAGTTGTTGAGCTGTTTAATTTGCTTTATATATGATTTTTTTGTGTTGTATAGGGTAAAGTTTAAAGTGTTTAGAGTGTAAAGAATGATGTGCTTGGAGAGGTTCTAAAATAAATATTTACAGTGTTTTAGAGAGGTATGAATGATATACGTTCTATGTTACCGACTACGAAACCCAATCACATTTGGTTATTTTGTTTCGATTCTTTGATTTCTATGGATATAAAAACATGAGCAATGTTAATTGTGGCCTTTGAAAAGCCAAAACGCCATAGAATCTGCCACTTGTCTAAAGAGTTACCATTTGTGTTACATTTTCTAGTTCGTGCAACGTTGGAAGATAGTCAAAGCGCCAGAGTTTTAGTAAAAGTAAAGAACCAATAATTGCCATGTACCATCATTACAAGCGTCTGATTCCCAGGGGAAGTAAACCCGATTATCATTGTAATCACATCGCAGTTCCAGTTCCTTCCCTTTCTGGCAGGAGGCTTAAACGAACCAGATGTCTATCTATATGTACTTAAACAGCAGAGTGAATGGGCTGCATTTTTCCCGTTTTGATACATTTTAAGGATAATGGTATAAATGAAGTTTTTCTTTTATTACTTTTTTTTACTGTCAGTCCATTTGACTGTTTACATGTGTTTCCCAAAATACCTTTAGCATTCGCACACCTTCCAGTTCGTGCCCATTACCGATTTAAAAACAAACGACATGAGAGAAACAAAAATGCAAACACAAAATGCACAAAGTTTATTCAGTTCATTCATCAGTTTATTATTTCTAACCTGATTGTCATAAGGAGGTCCAAATCGTTGTTAAATTGATGCCGTTTCGAATCAAATGGGAGTTTCATTAATAACACGGTCACTATACTGCACTGGCTAATGTCTGAATATACCTCCCCATATGTTTGTGGCCCCATCACCATTTTAACAACGGAAATCTTTAATGTTATACAAAGTATACAGAACTTAGTCAATGCATTCATTGATTCATAATTTCTAATTTGACTGTGACCAGAGGAGCCATAAACACTAGCACCCTTTGCACCTTTCGTGCTTCACGGACTTTCCATACCATCACGCCGCCATATTATGTACACTGTGGGCGAGTCTCTTTTCCTCAGACATCATTTTGTCATAGTTAATCATATTCGGTAACTGACGGATAATTCCGTAAATTACCATAATGTTGAGTTTAGAGTTATGTCTCTTTACACACAGGAACATAAAAATTATACCGCTTTTTGAATCCACATGAAATGCAAATTTGTAGTCGTCATTCTTTTGCTTTGCTTGATTCGACACTGTAAATATCGGAAGCAGATGTAGTATTTTCCTTCTGTTTACATACATATTCAGCCGTGCATACACCCCTTCGCTGAAAATGAACCTGTCCAGGAACTGGAATTGATTGGCGAGCATGGTCATCTGTTACACTGAAAGCTTCCATTTCGCGCAGACGATAACGGCAATAGAGCCCCTTTAGGTATAACCAGGTTTGAAGTTATAAACTAATAAATGAGCTGATTAAGTTCTGTGCATCTTTTATCTCAGTTATGCTTTTTGTTTTTTAAATGTGTGTGAGTGTGATTTTAGATTCTTAACGTAGCTTTAACGATTTTTCAGTCATATCGCTACGATGTCTGCAGTGTGACAGTTTATAGTGAGGTTAAGCACTAGGGCATCATGCCGGTGACATGTAGCATGATGTCCAACCCAGTACATCATCCTGACAACAGGCCAACCAGTCTTAACACTGCTGAGAGCCAAGTGAGGCAGCTGTTAGTACCATTTTTAAAAATCTTTTCAATGACAAGGCCAGGGTTCAAACCCGCGACCTCCCGCATCTGAGACGGACGCTCTACCACTAAATCAGTAGGGATGTACAAACAAAGGGTGACGTATATTCAGTCTATAGTGAATGTCTTCGAGCAGCATATGTGTTGTAGTTTACCGTCTTTGAAAATCTCAATAATTCTGTAAATTTTGGATTATCATCTCTTTGAACACGTGTATACAATGGTTCTTCCTTTTTATTTGTACAATTTCTTTTAGAAATATTAAAATCAGACATTGCAAATCTTGAACACAGGAGACAGTTTTTGGATTATTGTAGAAGCAAGAAAAATCGTCTGCTTGATTACATCGAGAGCTTCCGTTTGTTTTTAAACGCAAATAAGCTGACAGTGTTAGGAACCCTCTGGTGATAAAAAGGTTAGAAATCAAAAACTGATGAATGAAATGATTACGGGTTTTTTGTGCATTTGTTTAGGTAATTATTGTTTTTTTTTTGTTGTTACTGTCAGAATGGGGTACAAACAAACGGGAGGGATTACGAATACTATAGTTATTTTAGATAATTCGATATTTTCACTGTAATTAATTATTCATTAACTAGGAGTAATTTTAATACCCTGGTGTTTTGTATTATTATATTTATTTATCATTTCTGGTAGAGCATCAACATATTTATTTGTGATTTGTATTGTTTTCTGTGATGTACTTTCCGATTAAACCATTCAACAAGAACAGCTTACCCTTCTGTATAAGTGAGGTACATTTCAATATTGTTCTCATGCAGCCGTTTTCTTATTGATCACAGCCTCTATCCCCTATGATTTTGCTTATATTGGTAAAAAAAGCTACACGTTGTGTGCAATCCAAGGATTATAATCAATGACAGTAAAAATGAACATTAAAGACGACATAATCATGGGGTATGGAGGTATTAGAGAGGGACCACTCTACCTGGAAATTTGAATTAACATTATGAAATTTTTAACTTTTAAGTTCCTTTCCAAACAACATTACTCAATTAAATTTTGATCAACGAAAATTGCATTGACGCCTTTTGGAGGTAACACTTCAATAAATAAACACCAATTATATGAGTTTTGTTAAGTAAATTCATGTTTTAGTTCTTTCTTTTAGTTTAGTTTAAGTATAATCATCATAAATGCAATGTGCCTCTTGTATATGAATGTAAACTATGTCAATCTACCACGACAAGCATGTCCACAATGATTTCTGTGAGAACCTAATCAAGTTTAGAATTTGTTAGGTTTGAGACTTGTGGGAGTATTTATTGTATTGTTGTACTGAATTTTAAAAGCAGTCCTGCTTTTGTATTTTCACATTAATTGTGTCTTTTTTTATCAAATTTTTTATATCAACCCCAAATGAAAAAAGGGAAATTTAAAACAAACATTTTAACAAAGGGTACATTAAATTTTAGGTAATCATTAAACCATTTTGGGGGATCAAAGATAGCAAGGAAACCCAAGCAAAATAAAACTTGGTGAAAAAAAAGCTTTGTTTACGTTTCGGTTAATTTGGAGAAGAAAAATTGCGATTTGGGTTAAAATTAAATATTCTAAACCCTTATCACCATTTTGCACCACTCTTCGGTTTTTTCGCACACTCTGAGCATATACCCATGTTGTTTGTATATGTATCGCTATATTGACTAGTTATAATAACCGTTTTCTATTGTAGTTTTTGTTTTCGTTATTTAAAAGTGATTTCGTCCTCTTTCTCTCTTTGAACAGATGCCTCTAATTCGCCTTCTAAAATTATCGTATATTGACGACGCTGATAGCTGTGACGTCTGAAATACCTGCAGTGAATGAAAATCGCAGATAGCCTAACCAAATAAATCTGGTTTTATTGTTGATGTCGTTGATGGATTCAGAGGTTTCCCCCCATTTAAATACGTTATCTTCGATGTCGAAAATGGTACTGAAAAGTGTTTGTTACTGTTTGAATTTTTCTTTTTTTTGGAAAGGTTATTTTCTCTTGAAATTGGGGGAAAGTATCTTCCCCCAAAGACCACCAGGGTAGCGGAGATGGGTTTTCGGTTCCCCAATTGGGTATGGAAAAAAAGCTTGTGGGTGGGTTTTTTGTGGGTCGGTGGTTCTTTTCGGGGTTTTCCGCGGTTCTTCCTCCACCATTTATTCTGGCTGAAAAATGGCGTTAAACCCTGTAACAATAACAACAACAATATATGCATATCGATCGAAATAAAGAAAAATCGCGTAAGAGTGGCTATTTTATTAAAATGTATTGGAACATCAGAGGAGAACTGAGGATGCATACGAATTATTATTTGAAAATCATGATTATTCATTATCTTCGAAACTTGTTGAAGTGTTTGTCCTACATGCTGCATGTTACATTTTTTTGCAGGTTATCTTCTCTTTAAATTTGGATTTTATATAATTGGGTTGCTTTCCTTAAATTGTTTTATTTGAGAGCCCGACGCTTTTCACATTTAGCATTTAGATGATGAAAACATCTTTTTTTTTATATTTTTTAGTCTTAATAAAATAACCTTGCAAATTATTGCGTCTTCTATCAGCAAGAATTGGTCTTCTTTCCGTAAAGTGTTTTATTTTACTCTGTTTTTTTTTTTGTTGTTGACAAATTGAGGAGATTCAGATATTTATTAATTACGAGAAATATGTTTGGTAATGAAGGATTATATTGTTTTGTGAATGGAATTATATTTTTCTCTATCATACAAATTACTGGGTTTAAAGCCTCATGTTAAGGGAGATTACGGGCATTATTCAACGCAGAATCGATTATATGTATAAGTTAATTTCTGTTTTGGAAATATGTTTTTAATTGATTAAAAGAATTTGATTTGGTAATTGAGAATCGTCTGAAATAATGAGTCAGTATCTCTTGGTCTCATTATATCGTGTGCGGTTTTTAAATGACCTGAGATGACAAAGATATTCCCCATTCTTTGATCTGAACATTTCTATAAATAGTATTTTCAAAATGTTTTTATTACATTTACATCTTAAAATGAAACATGCTTACTTGATGCAGTATAAGTAAATTTAATGGTCGGGTGAATATAATTTAGGCGATCAATGAATTTCTGCAGTTCTTCTGAAAAATTGTTCCAGTTCATAAAGATGACATCTAAAAAGCTTACCCAGACGGTTTGATTAAGCTTTTCGTTTCGAAGAATTATTGTTTTTTATTTACCCATGAAAAGGGAAGCGTACTAGGTAGCCGTAAGCCTAACCATTGCCCTATCCATTTTTGGATGTGATTTTTATTAATAAATTGGAAATTATTATTTTTCAATATACGTTTTATCATTGTGCAAATGTATTCACTCGATAGTGTGTTATTTTTGAGATTGTTGTCAAGACAATACCTACACCCCTTAAATACAATATTTTAGGGTTTTTGTATATAGTTTTTGTTAATATTTTTTTCCCAAAAGTGAGATATAAATTTTGCTGTGGGGGGGCCCCCGAGGGGGCCGGGGGGTCAAAAGCGGTTTTCTGTTTGGGAAATCATTTCCATCTCCCCCTCTGTCTGTGGGGGATCGGCCCTAAGATTTGGCAAAGGGAAATGTGAAAAAGGTTGCCATACTTCCCCTGGGTGGGTGTTCTTTCCGGGTTTTCCCCTTTTTTCTTCCCCCAAACCAATTTTACGGGCCCCTTTTATAGCCTCATTTGCTGAAAAATACTTTGGGGCCCTTTGAACAGCAGCAAAAAAACAACAGCGGGGAAATTGACTTATTTTTTTAATGAAATCATAGAAATGTTAATTTTATAAAGGTTGATTCTTTAAAAGGTTTTCTTTTAATGAATTACAACGGGATAAAATATCAAATTTACTTCAGAAACACAAAGGGAAATTTCCCTCCCATTCTTCAGTCATAAAATTTGCTCCCCAAATTTGCAGCAAGATTGGATTAAAAGGGACTTGCGGGATACGTTTTTATAAAAGGGCTTCGGGTTTCCCGTTTTAAAATTTTCCCTTTCGAAATGGCCAATCCAAAAATAATTTTGTGTCCTGGGCATATCTAAAAACCCTGTAAAAAAGCATATTTGTTTGTATAAATGCAAAAAATTGCCCAAATCTGTTATTTTTGCCTGCCCAGCCCTTTATTTCCCCGCAAAAAGAAACCCACACAACAAAAGGAAACAATTAAGTATGAACCATTTTGAATCTCTCTCTGTCTCTGTCTGTCTGTCTGTCTCTGTTCGTGCGTTTGTACAAAATGGGAAAGATTGAGTGAAACGGAGGGGATTGGTTTGGGTTAATTGTTTTAGGGGAAAAGAGAAAAAAAAGGGGAAAGGGGAGAGAAGAATTTTAATAATAATGACCAAAAAAAAAAAAAATTCAAAATTTTTTAAAGAAAAAAATATATAAAAATTTTCGGGGTGAAGAGATCCTAACTGTTTTGGGAAATTTTTCCCTTTTGCAAGCAAAAATCAAACCCGCCACTTTAGAAAAAGGGGCTTAAAAAATTGCCCAAAACGTTTAAATAAAGAAAATAAATTTGTCGCACTTTTTTCTTGTGGATGGGGGTTTTTCCTAAAGAAACATAATTTTGAATCTTAAATAAAGACCCGACATAGTTTATCCTGTAGTTTCTTCGATTTGTTTCTTGTTTTCATTTTGTTTTCTTCTTTTTCACAACGACAAGCATGTTATTTACTAAACAGCAGGAGAATCTATTATTTAAATGGAATAACAAAGTTAGGTTCATATGCAGTTGTGTCTAACAGTTTGATTATAACGAGGAAATGCAATGTAGCTGATAAAACATGACTGTGCTTAATTATTTACTAATAAATACAGATTTAAGATCCTACTTGCCTTTAAAAATTAAATATATTTTACAAATATTTTTTCAATGATATGAATGTGTCCCTCTGAACTTATTTTCCATGTAAACTAGGAAAATTGAAGATGATACTACATGTGTTATGCTTTTGTCCACGTCCTTTGTTACGACATATCTGTCTTAATGGTCTTTTATTTCATTTGAGTTACATGTGATTGTTGGCGGTATTTAAACGCTACCCATTAAAAATTTTTTCTTTTGGTTTATTTTTTTATTGTTT